ATCCGGTATTGTATGTTATTTACGATTTCATCTCTAAAAAAAAACAATTACAATGCGACTTTGTATTCAATTATGATTATATGTCTTCACACATGTTGATTTCAATATACTCGTTTTCGAGTTTTTCATTATTTGAAACTGTTGAACGATTGTTTTCTATAAACCCCCAATGACCACACCGTGGTTTGATGAATTATTTGATCATATTCAGCAGAAGGCAAGAATTCACACATGAATAATCATTTTGGATTTTGGAATAGAATTAGACGTCACTTTCGACAGGAACATTAATGTGACTGATCATTTTATCTAGTAAAATGACACTAGTAATTTCTAAAATTCGTTACCGTTGTAAATGGAACATGATCAGTGTTTCAGTATCGGCACATTTACATGCGAAAATTAAGTGAGTAAATTCATATGAAGCGTAAATTCTGAACTGCTATGAAAAATGTATAATATTCAATGTTACCATATAGACTAATCTAAGTCCATTTTTATAAATAAAAATCGTCTAGTTTATATAAGGGTAACTAGACAAATCATTACATGTTGTAGTTTAACTAATCTATTATCAATTCGATAATTCAGAACCACGCAATGCAATATAATAAAATACAAGAAAAAATGAGCTATTATAATACATACGGCACAAATAGTTTGGCTGACACCGTTAACTTCCTATATTCAAACAACTCTAGACGTATTATAATATCTGACCATGTGGAGTTTGAAATACTGTCACGTTGTGTGTGTAACACTCAAATGTGACGTCATATACAAGCATTATTGTTATTTACAATAGTTTAAATAATTTAATATACTAGTAATTGATTCCATATTACAATAGGAACCGAAACTACCAACACATATTACCCTATGACAGATGGCTCATAATAAAATTATTTCTTGTTATTCCAAATTTTACTAATCGAATTTTACTATTTGAACTGATTACAGGATGATAAATTTCAAAATAAAAATGTACAATACAAACCAAATTAACCTCCCACATCATTGCAAACTTGTGCTTTCCAATTATAAAAATACTAACTTGAATACCCCATCAGCACGAACGCAATCAAATAAAATTGCGGAACATTAATAACATTTAAACCGAAGTATTATCAATAGTGTGAATATATAACTATTAAATAAAGAAAACAACTTAAAAAGTGTGAAGTGCGAGGAATAAGGGAAACCTGGAGAATCAAGAAAATGTCGGTGTACTTGATTGGAGCAACAAATGCCCAGTATAGGTATTGACCAGCTTTAAACATTGATTGTGAAATCACTAGCCAAAATATTGCTATGTGTTTTAAAAATAAAGTACACTTCACATACAATTATAATTGTTTCACCAACTGAAAAATGTCGTTTACGATCAAATCCTGTTTAACTAACTGTATACACTTTCAATATGTACCAATCTCTCAAATAAGTTCTTTAGGAAAGGCATACCCAAAGAGTTTAAAGTCCATTTTATATAATTCATAAAGTTTAATTATATCCTCTGTTGGGATTTGTGAAAAATACTTAAAATACACATTTTCGTCAGAACTATTAGTAGCGTGATAACTATATTCCGGGAAATTGACATTAGTAACACCAATGGAATGAAGTAGATAGTTTGATTCTTCGACAATATTTTCAACATGGCCAATAAAATCATAAGAATGTTCACATACTGAACACAGTTTATGCTGATAGTCCCAATGCTCATTGAAGCCAGACGTCTTTTTAGAACTCAACACAAATTGAACAAATTCGTAAAATGTGACACTTTTCCCACTATTTATGATTGGCGTTGACGCATTTTCACGAAATTTGGAGAGTATTTCTACTCCTATTCTTTTCTCCATTGCATGCCTGTCAGGGTTTTCCAATTTACTCCTGTATGCAGATAACAATCTTTGAAACGGATGACGTACAAATAAAAACGAAATGCAACGTCTTTTATCGATGTCCGCTAGCGAAATACGTGGATATGCATTTCGGCCGACATTGACGTGGTGAACATCTTTAAGATTGTCAACAGCCCCTTTCAAAACTAGCAAAATTCGTCTCCAATTTGTAGTACCAGCTTTAGGAATGCGGCAGTATGCAAATTGATATTCGTCGTTGTATACCAATTGAGGACTTGTATGTGATATGTGGTAATCGGTGGCACCTGGCTTTAAATCAGCGCATACTCGCTGGATGAGCTCTTTGCGATTTCGCTGAATTTCGTCCATTTTCTGGTTCTGTGTATTTAAGATAATAATGATGTAATGTTAATCATGTTGACCACAGACAAATTTTGTACTTTGCATAATTACTGAGTAATTAAGCTTCCACATTATACACAGTTAATTTCATCTTCCAACAATAATTATAAATACATGCAAGACACTAACTATATCTTTTTGGAAATATAGTATATATCGAAAAAAAATAAGTACACTGAATACAAATAACACACCGTTACACGAAGATTGATGCTTGATGATCTGTTTTTCGCAGTATCTGTTTGTACTTGTGGAACACGGCCAATCTTCGGGAAGTCGCTCACAGCTGAAAGACCCCGAGAACTGTCGTTTAATGTTAAACATACAATCGTTAAAGTAATTCATTGTCTCATAATACTGATATATTAATGACGCCATACATCAAATGTTACTATATTGGTATTTGTGATTTTTTCCACAACTTTTTCTCATTTGTGTTAGAAATGATCATCGAAAAGATTTCAATAGTAAGTTTCATTTCGTGATGAAATGAATATTTCAGGATTGTTTACAGGCGAAAAAATGTATGCCGAATTAATTCAAATGAACGTTTCCATACTAGTTTATTATTGAGCTAGATACGTGTATCCATATAGTTACCTAGAAATTCATAACCGAGATACACTAGTATAAGTGTACCAACAACAAAGACAGACTTCACTTGTGTGGCAGTCACACAATGTTGAAAATAACT